AACCAAGGCGGAGCTGCACATGTGCATGTGGAACATGTTGAAGCAGCTGCATCTCTGCAGACTGCTGATGGAACGGAGAAGAGAGCGAAAGCCAGAACGAAGCAGGAAGCTGCAAAAGAAAAGGCGGGCTTCCATTCGGCCTGGGCATCGTAGGCCCCCATGTAACTTGCGAGGCAGATGGAGCGAAGACGACACCGAAAGCCAGAACGAAGCAAGAAGCTGCAAAAGAAAAGGCGGGCTTCCATTCGGCGCCTTCGCCTCACCTGGGCATAGTAGGCCTCCCATGTAACTTGCGAGGCAGATGGACAGGAGGCGACACCGAAGTCTGGTAGTTGGGTTGAGGCAGAAGGCTCATGGACTCAACATGAACAGATAGAGCTTGAGCCAGATCAGCTCGACTACCTTATCTCTGAACACAAGGCCGACAAAAAGCTCTCCTGGCAGGAAGTGCTGCCGTTCACAGCACTTTATTGCCCTTTACTGTCTTTTGCTGCCTTTCTACTGCCTTTTATTGCGCTTTACTGTGTTTTACTGCCTTTTACTGCTCTTTATTGCCCTTTACAGCCTTTTATTGCCCTTTACAGTCCTTTACTGCCCTTTTTGCTGCCTTTTACTGCCTTTTACTGCCTTTTACTGCCCTTTGCTGCCCTTTACTGCCCTTTTTTGCCCTTTACTGCCCTTTACTGCCCTTTTTACTGCCTTTTACTGCCTGCTGCTGCTCCTGCTGCTATTGCTACTACTGCTATTGCTACTGCAAAGAGTTCGCTATCATGGTTACCGACAAAAGCTGTTATGGTTACCATGCTGTCCTGTTGTCGTGGTTACACCCCTGCCTCGTAAGCTGCAGCCCGGGACGCTGAGAATTAAAGGGCCGGATAACCCCACATGCGTATTTTAGCGAAAGGGCCAGGGTTGGCAGCAATTCCAGAAACAGAAGGAGTCGGAACAAGTGAGCGAAGAGGAAGCGATAAGAGTGAGGCGTGAGCGCGGCCCGGGCGCAAGCACTGGCCCACCCGACCTGTTGTGCCCACTATGTCGCCACAGCCGATGTCCAGACTGCATCCCCGGAGGATGGTCCGGTATGCATGATGAACACCTGCGAGCGCTGTGCCGGCGCCACGGCTTGGCCATGCCGGATCGGCTTTCGGGCGAATCCACCGTGCGGGAAGCCGTCCGTGACGACCAGCTACGCACGTTCACTTTTAACGAAGCGCCCGAACCCCCGCCGCCACCAGGCGTCGAGGTGCTGTGCTGCAACCGCCGTGCGGCCATGGGGCGCGCGGGTGGGCTGCCACACCGCGAGATGCAGTGGGCGCCCATCCCTATCCGACATGGCGCAGGCATAGCTGCGTGCGGTTGGAAGACCTGCCCGTACCCACAGGCGCAGGGGTACCCTGCAGCCGCTGCGGGAGCCTCGTGCGCTGGGTGTTTGACCGTGCCGCCGGAACCGGGGCGTGGAGCTGCACCGCAGGGTGCGGGACTGACACGGCCCCTCGACGCGCCGCCAACTGCACTCCCGGAACCGCCGCATGCCGGAACCGTCATACCCGCATCACCGGGCGCCCCCAGGCCGGCACCAGCTTTCTGGCTATCGAGGGGGCCGCCCTTGGGCGCCGTCACTGACGCAACCAATTCCTGGCTCTACGTGCCGCTGTTGCATGCTGCGGCCGCCGATCTCACACCCTCAACACTCCAAGCCTGGCAGGACGACCCTCGCTCTGCCGACTGGTGGGAGCTCGCTCGCCAACACCTAGCAGCCTCCACGCCTGTCAGCCCAGAGTTCCTAGTTGCCGCGCTCGCCCGCACTGCCGAAACCACACCGGCGCAGGCGCGCCACCTGCCTGACCTCGCTGGCCGCATTCACGATGCGGGGCTGCCGAGTGGATCCCTCGTGCACGTTGGTTGGGCTGTACGCCAATTGCGTGGTCGGTGACGCTTTCCGGCGACTTGTTGAAGGTTTTGCGTCGCAGTTCCAACAGTACCGGCACCGTAGCCGTCAGTCGCCTGCTCCGCGCTGCCACCGAAGCATGCCCACGCGCCACCATCGTCTCCGTTGATGCCGTTGGCGTTCGATCATGTTTCGCGTGGCGCGATGCTCGGGGCCCTGCACGCCCGTCGCGAGCTCCACCCCCTCCTCCCCTTCGCTCGGCAGTTTTACTCCTCCCCGAGCGTATATACATGGTGGGACGACGACGGCTGCGCGCATGATGTGAGCCAGGGAGAAGGCGGTGAGCAGGGCGACCCCTTATGCCCGCATTCTGCGCCCTAGCGCAGCACGACGCGCTCTGTGACTTGCAGCGTCAACTCCGCGACGGCGAGGCCGTCTTCGCCTTCCTTGATGACGTCTACATCGTCGCTTTGCCGGAGCGGATCCGTGCGCTCTACGATGCCCTCAGCGCTGCCCTGTGGGACCGCGCGCAAATCCGCCTCCACGAGGGCAAAACTCGCATTCGGAACGCCGCGGGGGAGGAGCCGCCCGCAGTCGCCGACCTTGGAGGCGGCGCCGTCGAGCCTGTCTGGGTTGGTGATTGGTCGCTCCCCACCGAGAGCCAAGGCCTCACCGTGCTGGGATCCCCTCTCGGCCACGACGACTTCGTCGCCCATCACAACTCCGAAACAAGCGCGTCGAGCACGACCGCCTTCTACAGCGAATTCCTCACCTCGACGACTTGCAGGCCGCTTGGCTGCTCCTTCATTCTTGCGCCGCCCCCCGCGCGAATTACCTGTTGCGCATCCTGCCCCCGCACCTGACAGACGACTTCGCCACCGACCATGACACGGCCGTCCAGTGCCTCGCCAGCCTGCTCGAGCTTCATGTGCCCTTGACACCATCTAGTCCCCGAGCCGCCCAACTACCCCAACGGTTCGGCGGGCTCGGCCTGCGATGCGCCAATGCTGACCGCCATGCAGCGCATTGGGCGTCGGAGTGGTCTACCGGCAGCTCACCCCGTCCCGACCCCTCCGAAGCCCCCGGGCACCGATGGCCCTTCAAAGGCTGGCAGCGGCTCGCCGCCCACGCTTGCGATAAGCGCGCGTACGAGATGCACTTTTCTGACCTCACTCCCGCATCTCGCGCGCTGCTGCTTTCCCAAGCCGGGCCTTTCGCTGCCCGTGTCTTCACAACGTCACGCCCACACAAGATGACGTCGCCGTGCCCAGTGCCCTCTTTCGCGTCCTCCTGCTGCGCCGTCTCCGGCTCCCCCTGCCGCTGGCGCCGCGCAGGTGCAGCTGTCGTGGGCAGCTTGACGCGCTCGGCGACCGCCGGACTGCCTGCGCCACGTCCGGGGTACTAGCCGCCCGGGCCCTGCTCCTGGAGCATGCTGTAGCGCGGGTGTGCCGCGAGGCCGGCGCGAGGGTCGCTCGCAACGTCCGGCTCGCCGACATGAATCTCGAGGTCCCGGTCGCTGTGACGCCCGGCGCCTCGAAGTCGTCGCGAACGGCCTCCCCTTGTGGCACGGTTCCCAGCTCGCTATTGATGCTACTATCGTGCCACCCCTCACACGGCTCGGCGACGCCCAGCCCGGCGCCGATGTCGATCCCGGCTGCGCCCCAGCCGCTGCCACCCCGCGCAAACGGCATCAGACGTACCCAGAGCTCGCCCGAGCCCGACGCTGCCGCCTTGTCGTTGTTGGCGTTGTGAGGTCGGTGGCCGGTTGGTGCAGCTCCTGCGCCTGCTCGCCAGGCACACAAGGCCGCCACCGTCCCCGCCGCCCCCAGACCCGCAGCGATCACGGCCTGGGTCGCGCGCTGGTCTGGGCTCCTCGCCGTCGCTGCCCAGCGCGCCTATGCCGCTTCTTTGCTGGAGCTGGTCCTCGCCGACGCGCGCTGGGACTAGCCCGGGCAGCGGCCTCCCCCCCGGTCGCGCCCGCTCCTGCTGCCGTAGGCCGTGTAGCTGCCGACGAAGACCCTTCTTTGCAGTCGTAAAAAGGCGCGTGGAAAAAAAAAGATGCACTTTTCTGACCTCACTCCCGCATCTCGCGCGCTGCTGCTTTCCCAAGCCGGCCCTTTCGCTGCCCGTGTCTTCAACGTCACGCCCACACGGGATGACGTCTCCGTGCCCAGTGCCCTCTTTCGCGTCCTCCTGCTGCGCCGCCTCCGGCTCCCCCTGCCGCTGGCGCCGCGCAGGTGCAGCTGTCGTGGGCAGCTTGACACGCTCAGCGACCACCGGACGGCCTGCGCCACGTCCGGGGTACTAGCCACCCGGGCCCTGCCCCTTGAGCATGCTGTGGCGCGTGTGTGCCGCGAGGCCGGCGCGAGGGTCGCTCGCAACGTCCGGCTCGCTGACGCCCGGCGCATCGAAGTCGTCGCGAACGGCCTCCCCTTGTGGCACGGTTCCCAGCTCGCTATTGATGCTACCATCGTGTCACCCCTCACACGGTTCGGCGACGCCCACCCCCGCGCCGATGTCGATCCCGGCTGCGCCCTAGCCGCTGCCGCGCGGCGCAAACGGCATCAGACGTACCCAGAGCTCGCCCGAGCCCGACGCTGCCGCCTTGTCGTTGTTGGCGTTGAGGTCGGTGGCCGGTTTGGCTCTGAGGCGGTGCAGCTCCTGCGCCTGCTCGCCAGGCACAAGGCCGCCACCGTCCCAGACCAGCAGCGATCACGGCCTGGGTCGCACGCTGGTCCGGGCTCCTCGCCGTCGCTGCCCAGCGCGCCTATGCCGCTTCTTTGCTGGAGCTGCCGCCAGCAAAGGCCCTCTGCGACGGACCGGTGCCTGAGCTGCAGACTAGCCCCGGCAGCGGCCTCCCCCCCGGTCGCGCCCACTCCTGCTGCCGTAGGCCGTGTAGATGCCGACGAAGACCCTTCTTTTGCAGTCGTAAAAAGGCGCGAGGAGAGAAACAAAAAAAAAGTCCCGAAGCACACCCGGGGGTGGCGTGCTGCATTTGCAGTCGGAAGGTGTGTGATTGGAATGGAACAATCTGGTTCCCTCGTTTTCGCTACAGAGGCTCGAAACGACAGGTTTAAATTTTCGGCACATTTCAGCTATGTCATTTCGGCAGGATCACAAGCCAGACGTCCCTATGGAACAGGCTTGAATGTCTCTAGCCGTTGTTCTTCCAATTGCAAACCCTGAGCCCCAGAGGCTCGGATAAACGCAGCCGGTGCAGAGGCTCGACTCGCAGCGGTGCCTCCATTGCGCATTGCGTCGTTTGAGTGTTCGGCGTTGTTGGGCAGGTGCGCTCCGAGATTTTCGCGGATGGTTGGATGGCAAGGGCCTTATCTTGACGGATCGATCATGTTATCTCGTCTTCCAACACCCAGGTCAAAGATCATTTGTACAGCGCCATCGTAAGAAATATGTGGGCTATTGGGCTGTCGCGTATCCGCGTGTATGCTTCATTGGGTTGCGGTTTGGTTGATGAGCCTCGTTGACAGGAATGAGTTGCCAAGCAAACATGGCAAACAATTTTTCCACACTGACCATGACAGTCCCGTGACACTGGTCGTTGACGGACGTGTCTCGCTTCGTCTGTTCTTGCGTGGCTGGGTCATGTTGGGACACACAGCTTGAAACCTGCGAAATGTCGTGGTCGCTTCGAGAACAACGACACTCCATGGTTGCGAAACTGCCAAGACAAATCTCAGCCAGGGCGGCAATCCTCCAAACAACCGCAGGCGCGAAACGACGTCCCCATCGCATGTTGCGCGCTTTGCTGAGCATGCTCCTCACACTATCTCGACTTATCTCGGCCATGTAATTATTGGCACCATCTTTATTCATATCTTGGCACGCTCACTGCTGGCGTGTGCAACATATGTCCGCAGCATATTTGTAGGACAGAAGGTGGTGGAAATTCGCACGGTACGAGCGTTCTTGTTTACAGGTATGTCATGTCACGTATGTCCATACTCAATATTGAAATATTGTATACATGCTCTGGACATGGTCAGTTGCTACAGAGTCTGGTGTCCAGGACCCATTGCCCAAGCAGGGTCTGAAATCCGGGTGTTAGACCCTCACCGCCCGGCGTACGCCAGATCGAGGATCGCTTGACAGAAACTGGTTTTTAGCGCATGGCTCCTGGTTCGGACTATTCGTGGTTTCAGCACCCAGTCAGAGACTAGAGCTTCAGATGCATGCTGCGAAAACCGCAGCTGGTCTCTTTCTCCTCGGGGCACGAGGCATTCATCGTTCGTGCGGAAGAGTTAGAACAAAGCAGCGTGCCGCAGCTGATCGCCAACGCCTCAAAACACAATCCTCGCAGCTTCAACCTAGAGCACTCTTCGAATCGTCTTTCTCTACTTCCTTAGCTTTGGAAGCGACGTGAGGGTTCCAGGGGCCTCGAAGGAGATGCGAGCTGAGGGAAGCCTAGGTGAAGCCAAAAAACCCAAACAAACATCCAGGCCGGAACAACACCCAACCGAACCGAAGCCTAACCGGAACCGACAGGGGAGAGACACCGACCCAATTCGACAACCCGAGACGAGGCCTGCGAAGCAGAACAATTTCACCCGAACCCAAACCGAACTCAACCGGAGTCTCATCGATGAGGCCAAAAATCCGTGTGCAAAGCAAGAGCTTGCTTGCCAGGCTACTAGAGGCGAGGTGGGACATGTCAGGGAGGCGGCATTATGCGGGGGAGGCGGCGACAGATGACCTCGGAATTGGGAGCCCGCGCTCAGTGCGACTCAATTGGACCGCCGCATGAACTGAACCGAAGCCAGCACCGCCCAAGCAGAGCCCAACCGCCACTCCGATTCGAAACCGGCTGGCAAACCGAGAGGAAAGACGAACCCGAGGGCTTCAGTAGACCAAAGAGCAACCGAAACGGACAGAGGTCGAAGCAGAGCCGAAAATTGGGAGCTGAGAAGGACGAGCAAAAGTAGGCCCGAACAGAGACCTCCCATAGGCCTTGGCGTTGCCCGGAGACTGGGTTTAGTATGACCCTGCTCATGACCCCAGGACGTGGATATTAGACCCGGGGTTTTGGCTCTAAGATACAACCCTGGGCACTTGATGGTATTGCTGCTGTGCATGAGTTTTAACTCTTGTGCACGACCACTAACACGTGCAACTCGTATGTTGCTTCTTCTGTGGTTGAGGATATGTATGTGCGGATTGGTTCAGCCCTTGCTTTTCGGATTTCACCCAGTATGTGTTTGCGTGTCGCCCTTGTTCATGGACTACCCACCGGTATGATAAGACTGCAAAAGCAGAGCGTCACTGTCTCGCCTGCCAGCATTTTACATGACTTTGCGTTGTGCGTGCTCATCATACAGCTCGGGCCAGTGAAGCAATGCATGAAGAAGACAGGAACGCACACAGCAGTAGACATTGCGCAGTATGTAACAGGGATGAAGTCATCAAGTTGAGATCAGCCTGTGAGTGCATGTTTGTATATGTGCGTGTGTGTGTGTGTGTGGGGAAATTGTGGAGGTACATCGCATTTTCGCTCGTGGTCAGGACCACCCTATTATCTTGTTGCGCGGGAATGAGTGGAATCTGCCCTGAACAACCGTTTTGTATAACCTGCATTTCCTGAAGGATTATCCTGGATTGTGCAAGTCTGGACCCTTGCATCCGTTGATTGCCTGCAAACATGTCATATCACAGGAGTCACTGGACAGATAAGGTCGCGCTCCTTGGGCGACACGCTGGCTAAGGTTTGTGTCGGGGGAGCAAGACGTAATGATCGCATGCGGTTGAAGTCATAAATCATAGGCGAATCTGTTAATGTAGTTTGCCTCGTGCAGGATTGCGGGGTCCTGGCAGAGCCTGACATTTCTGTCACGGAGGCTGCCAGATTTGCTGAGCTGAGCTTCTTTTTTCTGTATGTCACGTTGTGAGGTGAAAGCCGGGAAAAAACCGTTCATGATCCTCGCGAGTCTCCTGGCTTCATCCGGCATGAGTGCGGATGTTAATGTGCCTTGAAGAGTCATCGTGTTGGCCCATGTTGGCTCACGAATGCCCTCGTTTCAATGCCCTGTGTTTCCGCACTCTTTCGTTGCGCGTTTCGCTGCTCGACTAGAGCCCAGTTGTGACGAAACGTTTGTTCGAACTGCGTGATCCACCGCAGTCTTCTTCGTGGCTAGAGACCCAACTGATGCAGCATCTTCAGGACTCAACCCTTTCGCGCGCCGTCAATCAGCAGAATCACTTGACGCAAGATTGGAATGGAAAGCATCGGTCAGATAGGGGCGAGGACAAGAATTTAATTTCGCTGTCCTCCACAGAGCCGATAGGCGGCGGGGTTCGCGTCACCATGGCTTCCGACTGAACTGTAAGTTTCGGTTGTCTCGTAGCGTGCAGGTTGTTTTGATTGATCGCTCCGTTGCGAAACAGAGGTGATGGCATCTGGGAGTTTCTGGAGTCGGAATTTGTTGTCAAGGCCATTCGGTCGTCACGAGGGCATCATACAATGTGGCTGATCCGGCTTATCCATTAGGCGGTCTCCAAGATCTTACCCTTGGAGGGACCCACGAGGCTGGGACTTCTTCTGCCTCGACTTGTAGTTGGTGTTTGTACTAGCAACAGCTGTTCAGAAATGACGCTGAGGGCACTGCACAAGCTGCACCGTGAAGCAAGGAAAAGATGGAGACAGGCTCTTTCGTGAGTGGGTGAGTGAGGGAGGGAAGGGGAGACTTGTCGGATTGATCGTGTGATTCTCTGATCGAGTTACGGAGTGACTGTAAGATGAAAGGATCGATTGATTGTTTGAGGCTGATTGGTGTTTCAGTGTACGAACCCTTGACCGGACAAAGGGGGACGTTGGAGGCTACTTAGGCGCACGTCTCGTGTTGTGTTCACGCTTGCTGCTTGACGCGCTTTCCCCCTCCCATCCGGAGTCTATGATAGTTGATGGGCAAGTCGCATTGATGAGCCCCTGGCCCATCGACAGTGGCTAAAGTCTGCACCCCTCCTTCCAGGATGTTTGCTCAACCTTGGCAATCGTCTCAACAAAGTTTAAATCATCAGCTCCTCAGTGTGTGAAACAAGGAGACTGTGTGTGCATGATATGGGCCGTCCTTGTTCATGGCGCAAACGGTTCTGCCTCAACGTCTTCAATGGCCGTTTCCACTCGCAGGAAGCATGCCTGCATATATCGATGAAGCAAAGGGTAACAGTAAGGGGACAATTTGATATAGTACAGGGCTGCCTTGTCTTTAGTCTGGTTCCCCCGATACCTCGCCTGACTTGTTCGAGCGCGAGTGCTAAAAAAAGGGGACAAGAGCAGAATGGTTTATCCTGCCCAACGCAACATAGCAAGTTTGCGGAAGCACTTGGGGGTGTACCTAACGATCACTGCCAAGATTGGCTAGCCGGATCCGAGTATCAGTTTGCTTTCCAGACTTTGTCGATGTCAGAAGGTCAACTCGCCTACTACTCTCGTAGTGTGTTGTTCGTTTTGTTTTTGGGTTGTGTTTGCAACATGTATATATATATATGTGTGTGTGTGTCGCTCTCTATCTCTATACCCCTTTAGCTCTCAATCTCTCTACCTCTCCATCTCCGCATTTCTTTATCTCTGTATCTCTCTGTCTCTCGATCTCCTCTATCTCTCTGTCTCCTTGGGTTCTATCTCTCTATCTCTCTTCCTCTCCCTGTCTCTCGCACTCTTTCTCGCATCTCTTCGTTTCTCTGTGCATCTCTTCGTTTATGTTGGTGTCTTCTTCTGTCTGTCTATAGCAGACGCGCCTTGTGGCCGGACCGGAAGCTTTGCAGACGCCCGAGAGAAAATCGAGCAATTGTGCTTAATCGAGCAGTGGTACTCCGCCGAAACTGCCTGCCCTTTCTATCGTTGTGTCGGGACTCGTCGCTTACTTGCAAGCGTCCGGTCTGAGCGCGTGAGCAAGAGACCCTTTTGTTTCGCGAATCTAGCCGCTAGGTGTCTAGCCGCTAAGCCTTTTGCCTGTACTTGCTGCTCTCTTGTGCAGACCAAACAGCAGTGGACAAGTGGAGCACTGCTGACAAAACCTGTTCCGTGCGGACCGGCTGTTCCCAAGCCTTTCCTGGAATTGACATCGGATCGTTTGTTTCGCAGAGGGACTCGGGGGATGAGCTTGCCGTGCCTGGCCTAGCAAGTTCAGGAAAACATGGATACTTGGTGAGCCAGTGCCGTCATGACAAGGAATTTGCATGAATCAGATTGTCTGTCGAGAGTTCATCCTAATGAATTGTTCGTCATGTGCCTACTGTGCGTTCTTGATGCAGGTAGGACTGAAACTTGAAGTCCAGCCAAGTAGCTGGATCCTGTAGCTCTGGAAGCATTGTCGTGACACAGTCATTTAGATCAATGCTTGACCGAGCCACCAGAATGGCTTCGAGGGGCTTCAATTTGCTGTACGATCACCAGCAGCGCATCCTCGCAAGCTGTGTCCATGCCTGACAGTGCCTGACAGCTCGAGGAAGGCCACACCTACGACGCGCTTCTGGCCCGTGTTGACGCTGAGAGCGCAGGGCTGGCAGCTTTTTTTTCAGTGCCTGGCACTCTGCAGGACATGACTGCGATCCTTGTCAGATTGTAGCAGGCTGGAAGTTTGCGGCGTGTTGCAAGCCACATCCACGTCGGCACAAGCTTGAACTGCAATGCAAATGCCCGACGAGCATAGCAGACAGGAATGCTTCCTAATAGTACTAGAATGGTGTAAGCCCTTCGAAGATTCGAGAAGGGCAGCCCGCACCGTGTGCAGGAAGTGCAGCTCTCGGGCATGGACTGCCAGGTAGGACCCTGCCAAAGAAGCAGGCGAACTGCAGAGCAAAGTTGACGGCTGCCCGGGGGGGCCTACATTGCTTAGCCATTTTTGTTTTATTATCATTGGCATCATTGTTATATTTCTGTTAGTTGTTTTACTTATTTATTCGTATGTTTATTTTTTTTGAGGGGGGGGCTTGGAGGGGGGTGGCGGGGGTGCCTTGGTGCGTGAGGCGCGGGGGGGGGGGAAGGGGAGCAAGAAAGAGCCAGAGCCAGAGAAGCCAGACAGAAGGACAGGACACAAAGGAGAGAACGACAGAAAGAAACAAAGCAAGAGGGCAAGAGGGCAATTCAGAGGGAAAACAAGAAAGAACGCATGGATTCTGGCCGGGTACCTGATGGGTGGTTGGCCCCCCGAAACCCTTGCAAGTGATGTTCTTCAGAAGGCAAAAGAGATGGCCAGATGGCGCGGGACCTCCAATTGCAGCTGAACATGTCAGAAGCTTCCGTACCAGGGCTTCGAAGGGTTTTGTCCTTATTCCCATTGCCCCTATATACTCCCAACGAGTCAGATGAAGGCGTAAGGCAACGCATTCATACAGCCAATGCAACCCTGGGCCGCAAGCCCGATGGCAATCCAGCCAAGCTTTGGCTTGCCGTCAGTCAGCCGCCTGAGCGACGGCGCCGTGCAGCCCTCGCCGGAAAGGTTAAGCGCCTCATTATCAAGGCTGGAGGCGACTCCATGATTCCTCGCATGGATCCCGAAGGGGCCACAGGTACAGATTGGTTCAAGAGTGGGTAAAGTTGCCTCAGCGGGCCATGCCAGCTCCGTACCAGCAAGTTGTGGTTGGGTAGATTTGCAAATGAGTCTGCCCGACGTCCAGCATGTTTGGGAGCCGCTGCTAGCGGCTCTGCGCTGATTGGATACAGAGCTGCTCACGCAGGGGGAGGCCCCTGAAGAGCTTCACCAAGCTGATCCATCGCCTCATGACGCGACGTCCCTTTTCGTGGCCACCTGGAATTTCGGAGGGATGAGCCCGGATTTTGTACTTCCTCCCGAACTTTAGGGGATGCCCCGAAATTGGCCGTCTTCACGTCGTGCCGCCGCTCCAAGAGAGCACGACGGGGATTGGCCCCGAATTCGTTGAAAATGACACATGGATCCTCTTACACGGAAAGAGTGAAAGAGAATGGAGAGGTTGTGGCATCGCATTCCGCAAGACCGTTGGGAAGCATGAGTCCACCAGAGTCGTCACAGCACTGTGCTGAGATTGCATGATAGCAAACAAATCGGCCTCCTGTCAGGCAGGTGCCCTAAGCTCCTTCTTGGGTTCGATGTGAGCGAAACTTTCCCTCAACCTGGAGGATTACTAGGATCCACCACCCTGTCCTGCACGGGGCGAGGGGAGCCAATCCTCCACTTGTGCCTAGACCATAGCATCACTTTGCCGCAGGAAATGGACTGACCGGCTTTTGCACTTCCTGTACTCGCTTTGATTACATAGCATCCCAAGGCATCCAAGTACATCAAGCCACCATGGGACAGCATCGAGACCGAGCCAAATCTGACTGCCATGAAGTGTTGCAGACGTTGCCGCTGTACCAAGAGAGTATCGTTGCGGCCTCCCAAGCTCTCACCGAGCCGGCCAACCGCTCCCTTAAATTCCGTGAGAGCGCGGCTGCGTCGCAACGCTCGGGGACTTGCCCCTGGAGCTGCAGCTAGGAAAGCCTGGAAAGAAGTCAGCAAGCAATTGCAAAAAAGAATGCCGAGCCTGGAAAGCCAACTTGGCAGAGCGCGCTGGTTGGAATGCCCTCAGGTCGCTCACACAGAAAAGCTTCAAAGTGAATTGGGCAGCTGCACTGCTCGACGATCCTGCGTGGGAAGACAAACTATCCAAGCATATTCCGGAATTTCTTCTGCAAGCAGGAGCCCCAGCAAACACGGCACACCATGCAATTGATGTGGAGCCGGGCGGCCCTCATGTGCAAATCCACGCCATGGCGTCCTTTTTCGGGCTGGAATTCGCATCACTATGGCCAAGTGGAAAAACCCAACAGGCCCCAGATGGCATCGCTCTGGAAGCCCTCCGTCTCCTCTTTGATCATGACACGTTGTCTTTGCTCGCGGAGCTCATCAATGATTAGCATTTCTTGAGGGGCGCTGCCCGTTGGGTTATGACTGGGGCCTCCGTCCTAAGGTGGTTAACCCTGCGTCCTGGTCGGATGCGAGACCAACTGCGCTTTGCAGTGCTGTCCCTAAGTGGGCATCGCGACTTTGCTACTAAGGATGGGTACCTTTTTTACAAGACTGCTGCCAACACCAATGGGCAAGTCGGGGCAAACAGGGGATGGAGCTTGTAGAAATCTTGGAGATCTAGTAATGCGTAAAATCGCAGAGAAAGGTTCGATGCCCTTGGATGCTCGTTTGCGGTTGGGTTTGTCTTGCCCACTTCCCGCATTTTGAGATGGCGCGACCTCACTTGGTGGAGGAATCAACAGAGCCTCCGAGCGAGGCCAGCACCCCTAGGTGCAAGACATGAGGGACATCACAGTCTGTGGCGAGATCCAGAGCGACACATAGGCTCTGTAGCAGGTAATGAGTGGTGGATAGCCGCAGCAGGCCGACCGCGTGGGCAGCATTTGTGCATTTCTTACACCACTTTGGACCGCTTTGATCCGGTTTGGGCGTCGGGGCAACCAACTCGTGCTCCAAGGGGCGCCTAACCTTGCCCCTAACAGGTCAAGGCGAGCGACTGGACAGACCCTTAGGTGTTTGCTTGGTTCGCCGCACCGCTTACGATGAAGATGCTCGCCCAGCATTAAGACGCATGACTGCCAAGCAGGACAGTTGTGCTGGGAATACTTGGCTCCACCACTCTGTGCTCGACAGCTTTTACCGTGTGATCCGTGTAAAATCGGTGGTCCTAGTGCTGTTGCTGCCACCTACCATAAGCCCCTTAATAATGCTGAGCTCGCCTGCCCTTGCCCTCCGACTTCGCCCTGGTCGTGATCGTAATTGCATGCCCTGAGCCGAGATCCTTTGTTTGCCATTGCACAGCGATTTCGGTTATCTGAGCCATGACCGGTGATGTTGGCGTTGCGCCTGCGTGAGTCTGAGTTGGAGTGCATGAACTTGTCACCGCCTGAACCCGGCACGCTGCACTTCGACTGAAGGCCCTGCATCTGCCGCGGCCCATGTCAGCGCACTCGAGCTATAGCTTCCTGAGTCCTGAGCGATAGCTCATGTCGGACCATGCCATGTCGACGATGGGGATGTTCCATGGCAGCCCAAGGCATGAACAGCATGTTGCTGTGAAGCTGCCCAGACTATAGGACATGGAATGCCATTGTTTGAGTGCATTTCGTCTTAATCATTTACTGGTTCAGCTTGCTGCCTTTCATGTGAGAACCCATGTCCCAGTATTTAGTTCAAGGCACCGTGAAGGCTCAGGGAAGACGCCCGCGACCAAGGCCAGTATTCCTAGTGACTTCTGTTGCTGTCCTGCAACGTCCTGCAGCTGACTTTGTTCTTCAAATCATTTTGAAACCGCCTGATACTCGCTTTTTCGCTGCGGTGCACGGGGGCTTCCCTCTAGACCATAGCCCTGGCGAGCGGAAGAAACATAGCCATCGTGGCGCAAGCTATTTAGGCTCAAACCATGAGTGGTACAAGGTGCTGCCTCTGTGTCCAGGTATTATCTCAACCCGGGTGCCCTTAGGACTTCCCAAGCACTGAGGTGAAATATCGCCATAGCCCGAGCGAGCTGCGGGGGAGGTTCGTTACACTTTGCGTGTCCAACAACCTCGTTCTACCAGGGGAGGTCGGTGACTGTCCGGTTCGGTGGCGTTGAGCTGCAGATCGGGGACTTTGACAACCTTCGCCGCTGCGGCACAAGAACAGCGTGAGCCGGGCCGGCCTTGTAAAATGCACCGCTGCGTCTCGGGGAGTTTCAACGAGCTGTGCTGTGTAGTCGGAGTTAGCGCGGTTGTTGTTTTGGCTGTGTAGCCAACTCCCCTTGATGCTCAGACAGAGTTCCTGTGCCGGGGACCCAGTGCAACTTGTAACATAGGTTCACATAGATGTGACAACCCATCGCTTCCTTTCCTGGTACCTGCTCATGCGCGGGGCCAAGCTTTCTTTTCCGTCTTAGAGAGACTACGTTAACTGAGCCTTCTTTCCCGTCGTAGAGAGACGACGTTCACTCCGCGTAATTGTCTAAAGATTCTAACAGCTGCTACCATCGCACTCCTTTCTGTACGCACAGTTGAGCACTTTTACCGCTGTATATAGGGGATGAGGCAATTCGTGCCAGCACCTTTGCTTCTTCCTTGGTTTTCTGAGGCCTCGGACCGGATAACCCACGCGTAACAGGGACTTACAGTGGATTGTTTTCCGTTGCTGTTGTGTTGTTCGTTGATGGGTATTGCTTGGCCACTCGTGGCGTTGGGCAACTGTTTTGTGCTGCGGAGACCTGAATGAAGCCTGCCAAGGTGTTTGTACGGTTGCGGTTTGGGAGGGGTGTTCTTCGGGGCCGGGGGTTCGCCAAGCTCACTTGGGGGACCGCACGCACCGTTCTCGGAAAGGGCCTGGCCCAACTGACACTGCTGTGCACGTGTACCTTGTGAGGTAGGCCTTCCCCAGCAAGCAAGCAAAAATGCAAGCAAGAAATGAATAAATAACCAAGGACAGAAATACATATCGAAAGAAAGAACGAACAAACAAGCTAACTAAACAAAAAATGAGTGACAAAGAAGAAAACATAATGACAGAAACAAAGAAATGCATTAATAAAACCAGAAAAGACGAACGAAAGAACGAAAAAATGAATCACAAATTATGAAAGAAGACAGAAACAAACGAAACAACCAACGAACTATCGACAGAGCTGCAGAAAGAACTAACGACTGAAAGCCAGAATGACTGCAGCAATCAAGACATAAGCTTGCATCGCTTTTGTTGTTCATGATAAAGACATTTCAGTAGGTTCGATTAAGTTAGATCATGTGATAAGACAATAAGATAGCATACACAAGTGTAGCATTATATGATCTAGTATTAAACCGCATGGTCACATGCGGTTTAATGCGATCTTATCGCATTGGGTTATATTAGAACATACTTGGTTATGTTACTTCATGTTATATCTTGCAGGATGTTACAGAATACAGCATAAGGTCACAGTATGTCGCATTATGCCGCTATGCAATATTCCATTGCATGATGTTGTATTGCTTTGTATTGTACATGGTATACAAGCCCGTACCGGCCGCATAACTCCCCAACAATGATGAAGGCAGTGCATTCAAGGCGTTTGTTTGTTGTTTCGCAATTCAGGCAAGTCCTGCATTGGCAGGTTGCCCGGGGGGGAAGACTGCCCCGCCCCGACGCTCAGTACCATGGCTGCTCCACAGACAACATGCTAAGCCGGAGCACTTTGTTTAGCGGTCCGGATTAGGCAGTTCGGCCAGCACGCATGTTGAATGCAATCAAAATAAACCCTTACAGCTTCTGTTTTGTTTACGATATGTTTATGGTAATAGCAGCAGAGCTTATACATTTTAGTGTATTTTTGCTGCATTGGATCATATTATATCGGATCAGAAGATTAATTTACGACATGTTAAAATTGTATTCGGCTTCAACAAACAGAGCAGAAAGAAGTACCACATCACATTTATGTATTCCAACGTTAGATAACGCTGTATTAGTAGTATTAGTAGTCTTTTGTACACTGTTCATTGCAACATGGCATATCAAACTCGTACAGGAAGGCAGGGGGACTGTGCATTCAAGGGGTCATTTGTTGCTTCGCAGTTTATGCAAGTCCTTCATTGGAACGTGTGCTGGGGAGAAGGGGCACATCTTACTAATATATATATATATATCTGTCTTTGCCATTGTTATTATAGCCATGCTGGTTAATCTGATCTATTAAAACCACTATTACGATCAACTATGTAAGAACCTCGTGTCCCGTGCGTTGCTTTTGGGGATCTTGCTCGCGCTCAGTCCATGAAAGATGCATGTCATGTGGTGTTGCCGTCAGCAGGGCAGCGTGCACCGCACCAAAGCCATCCATCGCACATAGGACAGCAGCACATGCACAGAATCATTACTAAGTTTGTCGTCATTGCTGTAGCGGCCTGAGTAGTGACTCCCCGAGCCAGGCCTCTTGCTTTGCAATCTCGGATGTGCGCATCTGCACCCCAAAACCGTCTGTGCTGTCTGCAGTCTCACAGGCATCGGGCATTGCTAGAAAACATGGCACCAAAAAAGGCCTGGACCTTGGCACTGTTGCGGCAGGCATGGTACCGCCGGCTGTCGTGCAAACTCATGGTGCGCCAGAACTGGCTCGAGGGTAGGCAAGCTTGGTGCAGCACCACCGCCGCCAACAGGGCGCTTCACAAACAGCAAGCTATGTCATTGCGATTACGAGCGCGGCTTCAAGCCGATGAGTTCTCAAGCATCGACTTCAATGTGGATGACAGCCAATCCGAGGAAGGGCAAACAGGCCTCATCCATGCTGCTGCTGCGGCGGTTGAGGAGACCACCTCCGCGAGTGATGCTCCAGACATGCAGTTGCATCAGGCTCAGGAGGGATGGATAGCAGTGGCGAAAGCCCGCCGCGTGTGAGAAGCTCAGAGTGCTTGGTCCTCCGCCGCTAGATGTCGCAGCTGGGGCAATGCGGACTGGGCGGGGATCGCTGTCACCCAGAGAGGCTCGCAAAAGTGAACTATTGCGACAGACATCTTCGAGAATCGCGGAATGTGCTAGAGGACAGCGCCATGGGCACGTCACCGTGCACCGTCTGGCACCTTGGACAGAATCGCGACGAACGGACCCAAAACATCAGCCAGAGGCGCCATGTGCAGACTCCTTCCCGCGACCTCGGACCCACTGCCGTGCCAGCATCCTCATATCCTCCAGCACCATGCGGCACTACCCATTGACCAGCTTGACACCCGCAGGCCATGCAGGTCCTTTCCCCCCGAGACTTCGCAGCAGCGGGAGTCGCACCACCACCAGCACCACCAGCACCACCACCACCACCGCCGCTGTGACCTCCAGCAGCACGGGCTTGTAGCTCTGCAAGGGCTGTGGCCACTGCCGGGTGCTATCTGTCTTTGCTCCATGGCCGCAGGCGAGCACGGTCTAATATGCCGACAGCTAAGGCAGCTAAGGTTTGCAAAAGCCTTGCTGGGATGCCGGCAGGTTTCCGTGCCCATAGAAGTTGCACAGCGGAAGAAGTCCAACAACGGAAGTCCTAAATCTGGGCGCTAAGACTACCCTCAGCCCCTAGAGCCCGTGCTGGCGGGGGCATTGCCAGTGCCAGTCCCAGGCCCGGCATCTTCTGCACTCACCTCCTTTCGCTGTGGAGGTGGCGGAGAGAAACTTCGACCAAGATCTGAGATCACCTCCTCCGTCCGACACGATCGAGGAAGGTCAGCAGACCACGCTGGCAAGGGCCGCTGGCAAGGGCGCAAACAAGTTACCTCGCGAATCGTTACCGTCGGCATGAACTCAGGTCCCTGAATCAGCCTGGCCGACCGTGTTGCCATCAAATAAGGGCTGGACCACTGGTGCAATGAGATCAATGAGCGTGTGCTCTATGAGAGAGGGCGGGGGGTTCAGGTGTCGACAGTGCACCGAGTTGTACTTTATTTAGCCATGCAGCTGAGCAGATGCTGAAGGGGATGCCTCACCAGTGCGCAGCCCCTCTTGAGCCTACAGTGCAGCAGGAAGCCGGTCAGTGGGGGTTTTGCGAGGCGACACAGCAGTCGCAGGGAGTGCGGTGATCGCCGCCTCGTAGCACAGCTGAAGGGATAGTCTTGATGCCGCGCGTCGCCGGCCTTCCCTTCCAAGAATCCTGCAAAATGCGAAGCATTGCTGGGGATGCTAAGTTTGAAGGTTTGTGAGCACCAGGATGCGGTTGAGTCTTAACATTTGTACTTCAGGATTCATGAAGACAAGGACGCGGGGATTGTCAACGCAGCAGAAAGACAAACTGACTTGAGCGAATCCCTGCCTGCATGTGGATCGTGAGATCTTCAGCAGCAATGAGCGTGCTTGTGCCACAGCCTCTTGAACCTAGGTGTCGAGCATGTCTATGAAGTCAAAGCGCGCAGACGTCCCACGCTCACATGTCGGGCATGCGCTCGCAGAGTCAATAGAGGCATAGTTCGCATCTCGGCCATGCCCCACGTCAAACAAAGATCTGACACGAAGAATGTGTAGCTAGAATCTAGGACTGCTGAGGCCGATGCCGCACTGCAGCGCGAAGCCATGATGCGCAATGAGAGTGCTATCAAGTTCAGAGCTTACCCATGTCCTGCCTCTTTTGCTTGCATGAGTCGGTTGTCTTGAATTGCTTGCAAGATGCTCGCAGCGTCTCTCTCTCAGGCTGCAGCAGCATGCGCGGGTGTTTGTCATACGTCGGCGTTTACGTCATCTGTACTCCTTGGAAGACAAGGCCGTCGTGAAAGTTGTGACTGGAATGGTTTTGAAAGAGAAGCAGTAGCCAATGGCGGCCAAGGTGTTGGTCAAGCCGAAGCCAGGTGGCACTGCCTTGAAGCAACTGCTACCTCCAGCGGTGGAGGTGCCGGCAGGATGCAGTCAAACATAGTCTGCCCTCCTGGTCCTAGGAGTCCGTTAATGGTCGAGGTTCCTATATCTAGACCAAGCAGTGGCGCATCAGCTCTTGCCTCAGCTGAGCAGTGACGGTGCCAAGCCGCACCGCACTTCCTTTGTTTGCTTGGTAGGGCGCCAAGAGACAGGGCAGCCTGGGACCCGGAACTTTGCAGTGGTGGCTGCTGATTCCTGACTCGCCTCACTGTCACTGTTCGTGCGATTTCGCACGAGCTTGACTGGACTGTGGAAGCCTTCAAGACTCTTGAGCCGCCGGACCTCCTTTATAATTGGAAAGACCTGTCCGTCGTGACCCTTGCCATCGCAGTCAAACCGTTGGGCTTGGTAATGCCAACCATGGCCCACTACTCGATCACTGTCTGTCAACAGTGCATCAATGGATTGATTTGTTTGTAGCCTGGTTTGAAAACTGATTGTCGGCGAGTCCATGCGGGGTCAGGCTTTAAGGGTGGTTTAAAGGTGCAGTGGGGACATGCGGTGTACGATTTTCACGCCGACTGTGGGGCCGGACGCCGGACAGGGGGAGCATATGTGATACTTGCGCTTTACATCTGAAACAAGCAAGAGACAGACGAACAGACAGAGACAGAGACAGAGGCAGAAGCAGAGGCAGAGGCAGAGAGGCAGACGCACAGGCAGAGGCAGAGGAAGAGGAAGAGGAAGAGGAAGAGGCAGAGACAGAGACAGAGACAGACAGAGAGACACACAGAGAGACGGGCAGAGAGACAGGCAGAGAGAGAGGCGAAAGAACCTCACTTCAAGACAGCAGTTTGGTCGAGAGCAGCAACATACTGAAGCACCGTGGTCACACTTTTGAAACCGGCCGAGAGATGACTTCGGCTCCTCTCAGGTAAACCGTTTCCATTTCCGGCCCAACCCCGTTGTCTTTCAACACGCAATTTGCGAGCCGAGCCGAGGCCCATGAATTCGATGGATCTAGAGGCCACTACTTCACTCTTCATTCCAACCAGGATAGACCGAAGCCCAAAGAAGTGAAAGAGCAGCATGTTTGGCCTCGAGGTTCCGGAAAGAGGCAAGCAGTGCATTTGCGTTCATACATACATGAGCAGGCCTGGCACACCAAGCTACATGAAACAGCTAGCAAACGAGACTGGAGAGCATACAGGGCGCAGGCAGATGCAGGGAACCCGTGAATGGGAACACTACCTCCTGGATGACGACATCTGGCAGGGCACCCTCAAGCAGCATTTCGAGAGCATCTTCAACAAACAGGAACAAGATATCGCGGAGGTACACATCAAACAAAAGCAGCACCAGCTCGCAGCCCTCTGCAGGAAAAGCAGATGGGCGCCCTTCACCATGGAAGAACTCCGCATCACGCAGGTTCGATGGCCGCGCCGCAAAGCAGCAGGACCCGACGGTATTGTGCACGAGGCCCTGTATGTCATGATGCAAGATGGGAAGTGGGCACACCGCATCCTCTACGTCCTCAACGATGCTCTTTATCGAGGCGTGACCCCGGTGCATCTACCCAAGACGTCCACACCGGGAGCCTGAAGTGGTTTGCGCAGCTCTCGCTTTACCGCGCTGAGCACCTTCTCGCAGCGATCTGCTAACTACCGTGGTGCTCCAGAGCGCGCCAGTCGGTGGAGATGCTGCTATAGCGATCAGAAAGGTAGCAGGATGGCCAGGGATTGGGGGGACCCTTCATCTCGACGTCATTGACTCGGCTTCGCAGACAAGCATGGGGGACCTCATCACCGAACACATCGGCAAGCAGGGGTGTGGCTGGCCTTGCTACATGCGCGAGGGATGCAGATTCAGTTCGGAGGCGCCATCGTCTTTGTCAGTCAATCCAAGAATCCAACGGGGTGCGCCAGATAGGACCCGACTCCCCAGTGGATTTCTCAGAACTAATTGGCAACGCCCCCAAAGCTGACGACCAGCAAACCACGGCCAGACCTCAAGGACCCAACCCCCGGCTCCCTCTTCCACCCCACCACACAGGGAGTACACGCTGAACATAGCGGGGCGTCTCCAGGTCAAAGCTGAAGGCCCGAACCACCCCGTCATGGTGCTCGGGTTGGCGGTGATGAAAAGTTGCTGGATGAGCGCCGCTCGTGATCCTCGCTTTGCGGATGTGCGGCCCAACAGGCACGTGGCGTGTGTATAAGATTTCCGATCCCCTTGACGGGCAGTCGATGATCGCTTCGTTCGCCCATGGCTTCCCCTGATTCTGCCTCTGGACTGCACCACCAGCAGGTTATGAGCGCCCAACATGCTAGCAGCCTTTGCTGCATGGAGAGCAAAGCGGCCGTAACTCTGACAGCGCGCCTATGGGGCAAGCAAGGCCAGCAACGGAATCTGGGAATGCTTTGGTGAATGGCTTTCCACCGCCTACCTCGGTGCTGACGGTTGGTACTGAGAATGTGACGGCGGCCTCGACCGCAGATGAGGGTTTGATGTGGTTTGCCTGGAAGCACGAGCCATGGGCCTGGCGCAGCCGGAGAAAGTCTTAGGCCGCTAGGAAGCAATGCTGGGATTGGCGCCATAGCTCCACTGGAATCGCGGCAGGGTGTGAGCCTTGCATGGGAGCAGGGCGGAGCTACACGCTCAGAGGATGGACCAACCTACGTCACAACAGCAGCCTAGCCAGGGAGCACGCCCAGTACAACCGCTCCTCACCAGCCGGGCAGTGAAAGAAGCACAGGGAGATGAGCGCCAGCAGATGGCACACAACAGCCGCAGGCAAACAGCAGGAGGGAGCGCTCAAGACGCCCAACCACAGCAGCAGCCCCACTCGGGCAACACCCAACCACCCTACCAAACGAGCAGCAGCCCCAGGAAGACCTCGTGGCTGAGCACGAGCCACCAACAGCTCACGACAACAACAAGCACAGCTGGCGAGGAGCAGCTGGGAAGCACCTCCCCTGCAGCAACCACACGGCGCACCAACTCAGCAGGGGGCTGCCCACACGCGCAACCAGCACAAACTACAGCCGCAGCAGCAGGAGGCCCATCGCACGACACACCACCAAAACAGCAAACCTGCGCCCAAGGACAAGCGCAGCACCCGCCGCCAGCCTTTACCTGGAGAGACAAACACTACAATGCCAGACGGTAACCCGCCGCTTGCCACTTACATACCCACCCACCCCACAGGTGGGGCCAAACCTCGCGAAAAATCCACCAAAGCATGCCGCCGGGGATATGGTTGGATTTCTCCATAGGGCAGACAAGCATGAACCCACCACCACCACCGCCGCCGCCACCACCACCGCCACCAGCATAGTACTCAAAGGCACAAGTGGTAGCAAGCAGGGAGAACCCACTGCATGAAAGTGATCAGCCCTACCCCGGCATGGGAGTGTCGATCTTCATGAGACCGACAGGCGGCACCTGAGAGTGGCAGAGGAGCCTTGAAATTCTCTGCCAAGTGGCAGCTCTTCACCTCAGAGGCACTCGACTCCCACCCACTCCCCGCCCAAGCCGAAAAGCCGAGGCGGAGCAGTCAAGTGCAGCACAGCCCGAGCAAACGAAAGGAGAGGACGACGGCACTCTCCAGCACGACCCAGTCGCAGCAGCCAGATAACGCACAGCACCTGGAGCAGACGCCTACACAGCCGGAAAGCCCCCCCCATCACAGCAGCCAGCGCACTCAGAAGCACCACCACAGGTATTGTCAGCAGCGGCAGCAGCAAGCGAAAGAGGGTGGCCCAGAGGCAGACAGAACAGAGCTTTGGCAAACACCCAAACACGACGCAAACACGCAAGCAGCGCGGAGCACAAGCGCAAGCATCAACACAAGCTCAAGCAGCGGCAGCCAGAAGAAGCAGAAGAGGACAAGCTGCACCTCATGCAGCGAGGCGCTACCGCTACAGCGAGGTACCAAACTCTTATATAGAGAGGAAGAAGCAAGAGCAGCAGCGGCGCAGGCCAGGAGGTGCCTGCTGAGAATCATAGAGCTGACCTCTGTGGAGAGGCACTATAGCTCAGGCGCAGCAGGCACTGGCAGCCATCCGTAGTAGAGCACCAAGCGGGCTTCGAAAAAGGAGCGAGCAGCAGCAGCGGGTAACCCTACGTACTTAGGGGAGCCACATCCGCCTGGAGGACACGGGTGTCCAACGCCACCAAACCTGCATGAAACGCGAGAAGCCTACGGCAGGTCATGGTGGCGATGATGATGCAAGCTTTTCAGGATATGGGGGCACCAGCCTTGCAGAATGACATCATACACGACCTGCGACAGATCCAGGGTATCCTTAGATGAGCACCCAGCTCTTCCACAACGCGCTTCGCGCCTCGCGCCAGAAATTTGGGGGGCGGTGCACCAGGGAGAGGACTACTCGGAGCGCACAAATGAAGTGTGTGAGGGATTTTCGTAGTATGGACATGGTGCCGGAGGGGCACCCGCCGCACCTCATGGATTCCCTCTCGAGCGCCTCGTCTACCTGGCGGAGGAGGCAAGCCTTCAGCACCAAGTGGCATGGGGAGACCCAGCAGAAGAGGAGCGAGACCTGGAGGCAGGAGAAAACGTACGGCCGTTGGGAAAGCGGCCGAGACACCATGCAGATGTCATCGCGCATGACGTAGGACCCGACTGCAGGAGCTGCCCCTCAATTCAAAGCCACGAGGAAGAAGACTGATGCCTTTCCTTCAAGGAGACACACAGGTGGTGGCAAGTGAGGCACTCGCCGACATCTGCACGTGGAGCACAAAGGCGACGTCGTTACGCTGATTGACGATGAGGTGCGTCAGAACAGCGAGGACTCGACACCTCAAGCTTCGCCCGGCCAAGAAGTACCACATGAACTACCAGCGCCACCGACGACGACCACGAGAGAGCAGGAGGACCAACCAATGGACTGCAACGAGAACCGCCAGACGGAGCACCGAGAAAAGGAAGCACACCAGATGACACGACACCACCTCCTTGACAAGAGCTGCCAAACAGAGAGCAGAGACCAGACCTGCCACCTCCTGAACGACCTCTCCTACAAACACCTGTCGGACAACTACCTGAACTACTTGCTGGGGGCCCGCGACCGGACCTTACCTCCCAACTCCCCTACCAGAACTACCAGAACAGCAGGACAGACGACGACAGGAGAAACGACTCTCCCGGACCACACGGCACTACGAGGGACCCACCGGGGCAAGCATGAGTACCAACAACGTCGCTGGCACAACCACTCCTGCCCGAACGAAGAGGACAGCCAGTACAAGCTGAATGCGAAGGACCACGAGGACTACTTGATACTACTTGTACTACCACCGACGACGACGCGAGCTTAGGTACCAGGATAGATGACACAGGCGACAAACTTCGAGCACCCACCATGGGGAACGCCAGGATGCCCATCAACAGCGCCGGAACACACAGACAGTGCGGGCGACCACGATGACGAGGCAGAAACCGTGACGTGGCACCCCTCCTCCAGCAGTGCCGGGCCACGTACCACCAGAAGAAGGCCAACTGAGCCGGGGCACACACCATCGCAGACGCATGCAGGCAGCTTCTGACGACAACTGGGTGTGGCCCTCTTTACAAGGTGCGTTCTGCTGCTTGGACAGCAGAACGTTGTCAGAAAACAGGAGGCACACTGTCTGAGCTGAGGTTCGGGGTTGAGTGGAAGGTCACAGGTGAGGGAGGGATTTAGGCTTCCGTTCGGAAAACTTCTACTGACAAGCTAGCTGTGCTTGGTTTAGTTTAGCATTTTTTGTGTGAACTTGATGTGTTTGAGAGTGTCGGGGCACACAGTCGCGAATGCGGGCGTCGAAAGTGGGGCACCAGCCTGCTTCCACGGAGGCGTACAGCGCTGGTCACCCACTCGGTCCTAGAGACCGTACTGCAGTCAAGCCCCTCGACCAAAGTGGTGGATGGGGAAGCGCTTGGAGCGCGGGTCGAGGGGACTGCCCTCGGCTCTAACCCCAAGCAAAGAGAGGCCCGAGTTGCCCTTTGGCTGTGTGGAAGAAGACAAGGGGGGCAAGAGCGAGCAGCCACGAAACGGGGCACACGGGGCAGAGCGATGCATGGGACCCCACTTAGTAAGTTGCACTTCTTGAGTGGTGTTGCTTGTCCTTCGCTCTCCTCACGTCGGGGCGGTGGCCCCAGACAACATTTGTTGCGATTCACTCCGCTCCAAAAATGGGGTGCGCACTCGCACGTTTGGGGTGGGGGGTGCTGGGGGAGACCCTCCTCCCCTCGCGCCGCAGAAAAACACAGAGACGGAGAGACACAGACAGACACACGTGCCTGCCCAAAGCTTTCGTGGCTGAGGCAAGGGCAGTCACGACCCGGTTTCCGACCCCAGGCCACGGTTCCGGGAAGCCTGGGCCAAATTGATGCCAGCCAGTTGTGCAGGGGCCTTCAAGAAACCAAGAAGGCACGCGGTCCTGTCATTCCTGTTCCCGAGCCTGCGGATTAATTTCATGCTCAGGTGCAGCCCCCACTTTCACTCCAAGTTCTCGCCAGCCACCTGCAAAAGAAGCTCGGCTGCGCCAACCTGAAGCGGCAACCAGATTAAATTCGCATGCCTGTTTTGCGCAGTTATCTGTGCATTGAGGACAAATACTTACTCATCGAGGAAAGTGCAGCACATGCACCTCGTTGGAAACGTTCTTCCGTTCTTCCTAGTTATCTTGATTCGAGTCTGCAGGCTACCGCAGCCTTTGCATGCTTGAACAGCCAGGTCTGTGCACATGCAAGTCATGAATGCTGCCCAGGACTCACGACATGTGGATCTTTCATTGATTTCATTTCCGTGGATGTTCAATTCGCTGCATTGATGCCATCATGCCGGTAGGCGATTTTTCGTTTGCTATCTGTTCCATTGGATGGAAGCCTCCAAAAAGGCCGTTGAGTCGGAGGGCGGTGTCTGCTTGGGGTGACCATCGGTCATGAGTATCGTGCATTGTTGTTTTGAGGTTTCGTGCTCAATTTGTGTGTTTGTCCGACAGGCCATTTGGATCGGATTTACCAGCACCACAGGACCACCCGCAGTCATCAGGAGTGCGAGCGTCGATCCTGTGACCTGCGGCTGCCTTCCAGCCAGGATCCATCGTCGAATAGCCTTGTCGAGCACGCGTCTTCGTCGATGCCACGGAACGCATTTGCCGAGTCGTGCTGTGGCAAGAATGACTCAGCCGTAACAGCTTTCACCAGGCCTAGTGGTCATGCGACACGGCGAAAGTTCGTGGGCCTTCGCCCAAGGCCTCACCGACGGACCGAGCAGAGTATTGGCAGCTTTTGGAGCACAACACGTGATGGAGGCGACAGGCCGGCGACGACGCCAGCGCTGTCTCCCATGGCCGATGGCCCGTCGCTTCTCGTGCTGGTTTTGGTCGCTGTTTCATGCGACCACAGGTCAACCATGAGCGATGTTTACAGCCAGCAGGCTGGAACCAGGTGGAGATCCTAATTTGTGGTCTGGACTGTCTCCGTTGGATTTCAAACCTCCCAAGGTGACACGCGCATCTTGGGCTTTGCGCCTCTGTTGCTGCACTCAGCTATTGGCTATTGGTAGGAGATTGGCGACCATTGTCGGCCGCCTTGTTCTGCAACTACATGGTCAAGTTATGGAATAAAAGACGGCTAGCGGTGTGAAGGCCCAGACTGGAAGCCTCAGATGCTGCTATCCAGCAGCCTGCAGTGCTGCAGGCTCACAAATCATCCGAGTAGATGGATGGGGTTTTGTGTAAGATAGACAGCAATTTGTCGCAATGGACAGCTTGGCATTGCCATTGGATGGGTTGGAACGCGATAGGCTGACGTTGCTGTTTCTTAAGGACAAAATGTCCCTAGTCCTTGGACTTAGATGATCTTGGCCAAAATACTGTGTGGAACCATGATGCAGTGGCATTGCTCCCTGTTTGTCACGTCGCAGACAAGTTTAATTGAATTTCGAGCGGGAGACTCTTAGACTCTGCAAAGTGAAGGATTCACTTCCCCCGGATTCCCCCGCACCAGGCAAACAAGCGAGCGTGTGTGCTCGGTTCTGGATGACCCCGACCTACGCACCAGCCGGAGACCAAGCTGCGCTCTTCGCCGCTAGATTGGTAGACTGGTAGGCCTGCAGCACAAGTCTTGGACAGAGAAAGTGGGATGATTAGGGAGAGAGGTGGGGCCTTGTCGGGCCCTGAAGAAGGGAGGGAGCGAAGGAGGTCGCGCCACGAGCCTCGTATGGGAACACTCCCATGTACCTTCTACCCAACTTTTTGGGTGGCTAGTTAGTATCAACAAATCTTGACTCGACCCGTGGATCTAATTACAGTTTTTACTTCGGATGCTCCTTAATCTGCATTCTTTAGGAGTGATGAAGTTTTTCCGCTCAAGTGTTTCAAGAATGCGAATCCTCGAAGCAGCTCAACATCGCTCAGGTTGCTTGGGATGGAAACCTGGAGAGAGTCCGCACTACTTCTTTTGCATCTATCCATCGGGTGATATACGTTTTCAGCGCGGCAAGACTTAGCAAAATCAACAACACTCACGACTCTTGTCTATCACATGTTCGGACCGAGGGTGTTGACAGATGTGCTCCTCGATTACAAGCTGTTCAAGAACCGCTGATGCTGGTTGGCTCTGGGATAAGTACACGACAAAAGATTTAAGCGAATCGCCAGATGCGTTGAACAACACTGAGGAGGCACTCGAAGAAATCTTACCGGAAATAGCACTGGAACGGAAAACCAGTTCATTATCATCATTATTTCCGCCCACCGGCGCCTTCCCTTCCCAGGAAACACATAATGATGGAATGGATGCCTCTTCGTGTTTCTTATTGCCCCACTGGAAATAGAGCCGATGGCGTCGGAAGCCTTTCACTGTTTTTATTTGCCATACCCGTCGCCGGCTTCTCCCCACCCCGTCCGTAAATACTGGAATGGGTAGCCGTTTCAGTTCGTGCTACCCACAAATAAAGAAGCATGGAACGGGAAGACGTTTGATCATTATTCTTACTTCCACCCAAGATGATAGTCGTGGACCCCCCCGGGCTTGCCTCCTTTCTCCCGACACATGATATGGACGCAGTGGGAAACAATCCTTCCTGTAAGAACAGCCTGGCGTAAGAATGAGATTTGAGAAGAAAGCTTAGCAAAGGCCAAACCTGGCATTGAGATCGCGGCTTCATATGGCCTTATCAATACGGGTTTGATAACAATTAATATTGTTTTGATCAGCGCATACTATGGCTTATATAAGGGCTCACCTTCGGCTTTAGAAACGGTTTAATCTACCCTTAATCAGGGCTTTTCATGGGCTATCAAGGGCTTTAGGGCTTACCTCTTAATAATGGAATGGGCGACGATTTCATAACTGTCATTGCCATTCCCCACCCGCAACCCCGGATGTTGTCCTGGTGCTGTAATAGTGGTCTTCGGGTGGTCTCTCCGCCTTCCGAGAAATAGTTACAATAACAATCATTATCATGATTTGCCTACCCCCCCTCTTTCCGGCTTGTCCCTGCTGCAATACAAGCTCGATATGGTTTTTGTAGGAAGCCGGCATGTGTATCGAAGCTATATGCCTGTGTCTGTGTGTTGCGGCGTGACCTCTGAAAGCCTTTTGCCAGACTTGTTGCTACGCGCATGGAAAAAGGAGCCTTTGCCCTGACGCCGTCACTTGTGGGCAGTTGCGAGGGTTTCTAAAGCGGCACTCTAGCTTCTTCGCGCTCCTCGTGCTTTTCCTCTTCCAGGCCTTCCTCTTCGTCTTCGGGCATATTCGGGTATACCTGATTCTCCGCAAGTCCGCGGCAAGCGCTGCAGGCTGTTGGTTGGATGAAGGGCAAGGTGCTTGGTCGAAGGTCCCAACCTGGGACGGGTCGCCAATGACGTGGCGAGCTTTTCGGCGTGAGATGTCGTGATGGACTTAGAGGCCACACGGATGTACAACTTGGCTGCTCGATGGTTGCTGAGGCCAAGGCATCGTCAGGCAGCGCGGAGAGGAGTTCTATAGGAGCTCCAGAACAAGAAGGAGACCTGATTGGATGAGCCCATGGACTTGCTGTACGGCTTGAATAAGTTGCTGGGGGCCCTCGAGAACATGAGCGGCTTGAGTGTCCAGGACAAGTGTGGTGAGCTGCGGAACCAGTTCTACTTGCAGCTTAGCCAGCATGCAGGAGAGCGACTGGCCGACTATGCCAGTCGGTTTCGGACTTCAGTTGCCGACCTCAAGGCTGAGGGCGTTGTGCTCCCCGACGGCGAGATTGGCTGGTGGTTCAAGGAGAATCTTGGGCTTGATGATTTGCGGCGTCAGCTCCGTGACACTGCGCTCCAGGGCAATGAGACATATGCTGTGATTGAGCCGCCTGCACAGGACAGCCTTTTCAGGAAAGCGTTGACGATCCGGAAGCCCTTTTCCTCTGCGGGGTCGAGTTCCTCTATGCACGGTGCCTTCCAGTTTTTCGCGGCGTACCAGCAGCTTCGCGCCGAGCTCAGCAGCAAAAGTTCGGCTGGACTACCTGGTCCCCGTCGCCCCCCCCCACAGCAAGTTCACGAGACAGCCAGGTGATGATGGTGATGATGGTGGCGAGCGTGGCTTGGAGAAGTTGTCCAGGCCGAGGCGGAAGTGCTGGCAGTTGCAGAGGAAGAAGGAGTGGATCCAAGCCATTTGGACGCACTCGTGTCAATGAGAGAGGCAAGAACCCGCTTCGCCGAGGTGAGACAAGATGGAGGATATCATGGACAGCGTGATGGCGGTGGATGGCCGAGATCTAAATCGAAGAGCTCCTTGGCCATTTTGCAAAAGAAAGCCAGCGACCGGCATCTTTGTTTCGATTGTGGTGGTGTCGGTCATTGGACCGGCGACGCTGAATGCCACTATCCTGGAGCAGGTGCCGGCAGACCAAAGCCGAAGGCTGGGCCGAAACAGGCTCGTGTGGCCGAGGCTGGGGCAATAATGAACGGGACGCGTGGCTGAGAACCCGGAGCCAACGAGGTGCTTGTGCTTTGGACGTTGGAGGTGCTCTTCGAGCTTCTTTTGGTGCCGCCGCCCGAGTTCATGAATCTTTGGCCTTGAGCCGGCTGAGTGCCGACAAGGCTTTGGTCGGCGCGCTAGCCGGGACAACTTCAGATGATAACGCAGGCCTGGGAACGACGCCGCCGAGACCAACTTTTGATCTCTTGTGCGGTGCACGAGGCTGCGGCAGTGAGGGCTGGGTATCTTCGTGGGATGCGGCAGCCTTTAGTACTGGATGTCTTTGCTGGCACGTCCGCTAAGCCCAGCCCCGAGGCCGCTTTGACAGTCAATTTCTTGAAAATGCCCGAACACAGAACTGGTGTGCGACCTCGATTTCAATTCAGGGCTCTCTTGGTTCGACAACAAAGCAAGGGGCGAGACATCTCGTTCTTTTGCTCACCACTTTCCTTTCGGCCTGGCAGGTTTCAGCCCTGCGCTCGTGGCCGTACTGGGATGTCTGCAGGCCGGTTTTTCTTCCGTGATGGTGCCAGCCCCGATTTTACTTTGCGCATCTTGGCGACGCGACAGGCTGTGGTGAGCAATTTACTGGCAAAGAAACCAAAACCACAACTTGATGCAACGCGACTTCGTGACCTCAAGCCACATCGACTTGTTGCATCACGACCCCGTGACCTAAAGCCACAACTTGATTCACAACGAACTCACACGGTGATACCAACAACAAAGCTGACTGGCACAGAGCTTGATCGCAGCCTTTGAGGCGGAGTTCGATTTCGAGACTTGGTTGGCTGAGGATCGGCGTGGAGGGAGGGGAGCCGTGCTTGGGGGAAATCACCCCGGCCAGGTGTTCATGGAAGCCACGGGCCATCGACTGCCGAAGCGGCTCGCCCGTGCCCTTCTCTGTCTGGGGCGCCGCGGCGGCCGTGCAAGTTGCTCGGGAGCTTCGCTGTGATGTCTGTGATCAGGTGGCCGGCGAGTTGGGGCCCTGCGAAATCCGCGTGCTGAGGGTGAACAGGTGCACATTGACCCGCTGTTGGCGGAGGATGCGACAGGCCGGGTCTTCCTTGTTTGCCACATCACGGACGCCGTGAAGTTCCAGATTGCCGGTGTGATCCCCGACACGGTCCTCGCAGGCTGCGATGAATTCTGTGACACTGCCTTGGCTGCCGATGTTGGCGCCGCTTCATCGCTGACCAAGGCCCCGAATTCATCGGGTCATCGGTGACACTCACCGTGCAGAGAGAAGCAGCGGCACCTTGAAGGAAATTTTGGCGACGGTGGTCAGCGACCAGGTGATCGGGTCAGAGCAGATGGCTGATGCAGTGGCTGAGGCTTGTGCAGCGTACGATGGGGATGCGGGATGCAAATCCGGAGGCGAGTATCCCTTCTTCATTGTGTTGGCCGGGCCCGGTCCCGCACTGCCGCCACCGTGCATGCGATTTCCCAGACTACCAATGCTCTCGAATCCGACGCGGAGATTGTCCTGCGGCAGAATGCCAACGGCACTGTCAAGTGATAGCACTGACCTGGCGATGTAATTAAGGAGTGCCCTGCGACTGCAACTGTTTTGTAATGAGAAGTTGATGTTGAAAGGTTGAATGGGTATCTTCAGTGGCTAGCTGAGAATGTGAGTTCTCGGATTCAATGTGGTCATAGACCTAGGGGCTTATGATTTTCCTTTTCACAGATAGGATCTGCTTTTCCTTACGTGCTGGGCAACTCAATGACTCGAATGTCATCCCGAGTCGAGCCAAAATGTCCCGAACGAGGCCAATGATCCGTTGCAGCTTTGATTGTTACTGCTTCGAATGTTTCTTCGCGACTGCTGCTGTGTATGATGGTTAAATTGTTTGGATCCCCGACTAAACTCAGGATCAAGGGACTGTGTCAAATGACACGAGCCCAATGTACCCCCGCATGTTCACGATGCATTTATGAATGCTACGATGCCGACTGGCATTGGATCAAGACTGGACAGATCGGCTTGACGTCACAAAGGAATGTTTGCTTGAGTGTCTGACTGTGGGGAAAGTGAGTGATCTTGGTTGCTCTGGTAGTGTGGATTGTACTGTTGAATTTTGCGCTCGCTCTCTCTCTCTCTCTCTCTCTCTCTCTCTCTCTCGCGTTCTCGCCCTTGCTCTCGCGTTCTCGCCCTTGCTCTCGCGTTCTCGCCCTTGCTCTCGCTCTCGCTCTTGCTCTCGCTCGCCCTCTTTCTCGCTCTCTCTCTCTCTCCATCGCCTTCTTCCTGTCTTGCTTCCTCTCTGCTTCTTGGAAGCCTCAGGACGGTCCTGGTCCACGCGGCATGCATACAATTTGCATAGTCTGTTGCCTGCTACATACAGTTCATGCGGTGCATGTGCATGCCGAGGCTCCGTGCCACGTGTCGGGGCCTTCTGGATTCCAGACATGAGCACCGTGAGGTTTACAGCGTGCCGCAGGATCCCATCCCCATCTCTTTCACGTGCCCAACACTGGACTACCCAGATCACCAGGCCCTTCTGCTATTGTTCACATATTACGGATTTGATGGCACCCTTTTCCGAAGGGCCTGGGGTTTCCTGTGTGGGATCTTGGTGGAGATGTCCACGAAGTGTGGGGCCCAAGGGACGAGGAGGAGGAAGAGGAGTTTCACAGACAGCCTACTAACAGTAGCTCCTGTCCTTGAGGCCGTGAGCCAGCTGGAAATAGACACAGCCAGCCCCGCAACGCAGAAGGACATTCCACGGCAGATGCTTCTACCTGACAGTACCATGGTTTCGTTCCTTATCGCGAAGGACTTGGATGCACTGAGCAGACGACCGCCAAAGACGCTTATGTCACGGGCTGAATTGAGCACCAGCCAAGTCGTTTGCATTGGGCAGCGAAAACTTCGCACAGTTGATGTAGCACACTGCTCACCACGATCGTCTGAGACCTTCCCAGCCCGAAATGCAGAAGCCTGTGGGTAACCTGAGCGTGGTTCAAGGCTGGTCACAACTGGTGCAGCCATTCAGACGATGCTGGGATGCCTGATGCTCAGATGGCAGCAGCTTAGCGCTTGAGGGCCTCGGTTTGTCGAATCGCCTGCCCTTCAACTCTGCATCCGTTTGTCAAGTTCTCGCCACCGGGACGAGCCGCGAGCATCTAGACCAACTACTCGTTGGCAGCGGAGATGCCCTTCTGTTCGAGTCCCTGTTCGAAGCAATCTGAGTGTGTCTCAACTGATCAAGCATGCTCGTTGGAGGCTAGAATCGCCGGTGCTTCATCGAGTTTGTGAAAGCAGTCTTCGCGAGCGAGTCCGCCCGGACTGTGAGCTCTGGAAGGCCCGGAGGATTTGTTACTCTTGTTGCTTGGTTGCCTAATTCGGTGTTTTCCGAGATGCGGTAGCAGGCAGCGCTGTCCCGCAATCAGTGGAAGGCCGCGCAGACTTCCATACGCACAGCGAAAGAGTCGTCGTAATGGCATGGATCCGACGCTAGGTTATCAGGCACATCCGCGGCGACGGTCTCGACACCAAACTGGGCTGCCTCCCCAAGCCTGTCAAGGAGCGGCTGATCCCGAAGAGCCACGGGCGGATAAGCCAACCTGGCTTCTGCGTGGTAATCAGAATCCGCCATGTCGATCTGGCCAGAACCGGAGCCCTTTCAAGTTTCTTCGTCAGCTCCTGACTTGGCACCAAAATCCTGCGCAGGTCGGTGTCCCCTACATGCTTGATATGCTTGATAGGGGAAATCATGGCATCGTCCGTGCATATTCGTTGTCTGCAGCTCGTGTTTCTCTTGTGAGGCCGACGGTAGTGCTTGCTCGTTCCACTAACCTGATCTGGCTCGTTTGGCGTGGACGCTGAGATGGTCCCTGCACGCATAGCTAAAAAGTGCGCTTGGTCATGTTGCTGTGCATATTGTTACTAGGAAGCACAAGCTGCCTTTTTCTCGTGTTATCGAGACTCAGCATACAAGTGTTCGTCAGTTTCTCCTGTGGGAAGTTCCGGGCAGTTCCGGGTCTTGAATATTGCCTGCTACTTTCGTTGTTCAGCTGCCCTTGGAGGTTCCCAACACGAAGACTTGCGTTCGGTGGGCTTGGGTTGCCCCAGCCCATCGATACCCCACAACAGCTTCTCCGTCAGGAGCTGAATGCGGAGGTGCGCGCTAAGATCGTCCGGAAGGCAGCAGAAATTGAGAATATGCAGGCCTTGCCACAGTCTGGCAGCCCGGCATTGCTGCATGAAAGGTGAAGAGGCCTAAGTTTTATGAGACTTTCCACGTGCCAGAAGCTGACGAGAAAGGCGTGTGCTGCGTGCTTCTAGTGACTCCAGCGGATGCCACTTCTTATCAGTCAGTTCGACACAGGTCGGGAAGTGTGAGTGCCTCAGGGTTGTCACCGCCCGCAGGACGTGAGGCCTGAAGCCAGAACCAAAGCTGCCTGACAGGTATTCGGACACGCGAGTGCGATTCAGGCTCGCAGCAGAGTGATCGGCAAGCACGCATGTTGCCGACAGATGCTTTCATTCCTGTTCGGGCGATGTTGCCTGAAGTGTCGACATGCCTGGCTTTTCTTCTTGACAGGAACTATGCCGGGGAGCGCGCGGCCTAAAATGTCTTGAGCTTCCACATAAAGTGGTAGCCGCATCAGCAGCTTGTTGCCGCCCGACACAGCAGGCCGATGATCTTCAGCCACACAGAGTTCTCCAAGCCTGGGGCTGACCCAAGGTTTTTTCCATCTCTGCAGAGCAACGTTCGTCGGAGGCTCTGCCGCCAAGCTGGCCGAGCAGAGCTACCGTGCTGGCCTCGACTCGGACGGTTTCGCTCTTCCGATCTGCACGCAGCTCCACGGTCCTTCACACGGCAAGGTTGGAGTCGGAGTTCTGTGTCAAAGTGAAGCCATTGGTCGGCAGCTCCAGATGCACGAGCACATTGCGCTGTAGATGAAAGCACAAGTAGTGGCACCAAAGAAACAAGAAGCCAGTGCCTCAGGTCTTCGGCTTCAAGTTCAAGCCGGAAGTGAGTTCGAGTGGACCGGGCTTGGAGCCTGCATAGGCTGTGCTGGGTCCCAAACAGCCGGTTGCATGAGCTGTCTGAAAGTATTCAGACTTCTCCAGCTAAATGCAACCCTGGCCTCTTCATGCTAAGCCAAGCCTTCCAGGAGGTATTCCTAAACCCAGGGTACATTACGGAACAAGATGGACCGTTGTGCCACCCGATCTGACCGCGACATGTCCCGGCTTCAGCCCCCGCGTCGAAGAGCATGTGCTGATTGGGAATTTATTAGGGCATTCTCAAGTTTCACAAAAGTTAGTGCCCAGAACCACCAAGTGGTTTGGCAGGGGTCCACATGTTTACAGGTGTGCAGCTTGTCTGGCTGAACTATTCGTCCTGGTGTGCTGCGGGTCACAAAAGCCGGAGCGCGGCTTTGAGTTAAGTCTGCCTTAGCAGTCAAGGGCCAGGAAGCAGTGCCAGATTCGTAGCGGAATTGAAGGGTTAGAGCAGTGCAATGGCAGGTGGGAAAGGAGGATGTCGGGATGGGGGTGTGGGAGTTGGCCATGAATCCATATGAATTGCGAATTGCTTGTCTGCCGCTTTTGTTTCAAAGCATAGCCTCGCGGCCTTGCGATGCTTATAAGTCATGTTAAGTCGAGTGTACTATGCGCTGACGTCGCGGAAATGCAGACGAGCTCTTTTGCAACTGCACCCTTGTGCAGTGATATGCCTGCTTTTGGTGCTGCCAACGGCGCCCCAGCGAAAGACAGAAGTGGCATTCGTTTCTGATGTATTACGACTTGGACATTGGATGCAGCTGAGGCGTTCTTGGCATGGCAGGTGTGGCCCGCGGCTTTCCCGCTGAAGGACAGCATCACCACCAAGTATGTGGTGCATCCCGCGATGGCCAAGACATCGCCACTTCCGTGCTTAGGCATAGAGGCATGTCTCTCTCTCTCTCTCTCTCTCTCTCTCTCTCTCTCTCTCTTTCTAGTATGTCTTTGAGGGTCGTCGTGCCAAGTTCTTGTTCGGTGGCCTTGGTGAGGTCGAGCAGCGACACTGATGCGCAGATGATTGTCCAAAGTTTGAGGGGGCGACCGCAGCTGTCCAAGATAACCAGCATCGATATCGATGAGAAGGTCGCTAGACCAAGCGTTGAGGGGTTGAGGAAAGGCCAGGCGCCCGCTGCCCCGACGGCTGCATCGACGCCTATCCCACGAGCTTCAGGTCCTGCTCAGTCTGGCCCTGCCCTGTCAGCAGAGCTTCACCTAGCATACAAGAGGCTAATCAAAGAGTATCCTTTCCAACCGGTACGGAACGAACGTGGCCAGTTTGTCAACGTTATACTTGTTAGATCACCATTCCGGTCTCGTCACCAAAAAGACCTTTACCAACAGTACAAGAACGAGATCCTGTTTCTGGGTATCAGCAGCTTCGAGGACTACCCGCAGCCACCTCCCAATCCCTTCTCGGGGAAGTTCCCCATAGATGAATATGTGGGTCTTTTCCCCGGCTTCTTGCACATGGTACGAGAGCCAGAGAAGATCTTTCCTCCGTCAGTGAAGCTGCTTCTGATGTCGCAGTCGGACTTTTCACTGCCTCCCCCGCAGCCGAAGATGGCCACCAAGTATGACTTCACATTTTCCGGTTCAGACCAAGATGTTCGAAACGATTGTGTTGGTTGGTCTTCGTTCGCAAAGAATTGGACGTTCGTCAAGGAAGCATTGCAGGTGATGTGTGGTGAGCTTGGAATGACTGGGGTGCTTGTTGCCACGAAGGACAAGCAGGATCGCAAAGCTTGCAGCATTCCCGCGAGCTGTGAGGGCAAGATCGTCCAAACAAAATTCCTGAGCCAGCAGGAATTCTTCGCCTATGTCAGACAAAGCAAGTTTCTCTTCGTTCCGCAGGTTCATGACGCCTCACCTCGCGTGACCACTCAGGCGTCATGCCAAAACATGACATGAGGCTGAGGCTTGCTGCTTGTGCTTCCACTTCCATGCAAAGGCCTTGGCACTGGACGTTCCCTTGCTCATGAACTGGCACCTCATCGGTGGCTGGAAGTATCTGAACAACAAAACGGGTGAATTCTTTCACGCACCTCGGTTGAAATCAGTCGCCGAACCCGTGCATGCGCCGCATGTGTTGGGTCGGAGTTTAGCCGATAGCCGAAGTGATCAGAGGAAGGCGAGGCCCGGTTGGAGGTAAGCTGTAATTAACGCCCGTGCGCATCAAGGCAACCAGGAACGTATCAAATGATGAAAGCAGAGGAGGAACTGCATCGATATACCAATCCGAATCTATCCCCTGTCATGCCTTTGTTGGAATATGTGCACACCTCACGAAACCCAGTTTCTAGTCGTGACCAAAACCTCAGTAAGTTGAAATCCTCTGTCCCCTGTCTGCCTATCAACAACCAGAGGGCAACTGTGCACGGGAGATCACGGGAGCACCACGACACACCAATGCTACGAGCACCGCCAACACCACGAGCACCACGAGAACGGCCAGCAGCACCAGCACCAGCAGCACCCACCAGCAGCATCAGCCAGTAACAGCAGCAGCACCAGCAGCAGCACCGGCAGCAGCACCGACACCGCCACCACCAGGACCAGTACCAGCGCCAGTACCAGACTATTGGGACCTGGCCCCGCCTTTCCACATGACATAGGACCTTGCACAACCGATCCTCCGCAAGAAGCGGCCTCCCTCCTTAAGGAAAAGAGGCCCTAACGGGGGCCTCGTACGTGGTGGGCGCGAAGTCCAAGGTGCAGAGACTCTGTCCTTCCACACTTCCTTGACCTCCCGCTCTTTATTTAATGACTGACTACACGCTATATCACGTGGTCGGTGCCCGAACACAAGTTCACTACATATGTCTTGAGAACCGTGGCTCTTGACCTGCCGCAAAGGGACAAACGGAATTCACCAATCCCCTCCCTAATCCAAGCCATCAACACGCCGAGCTTCCGAAACTATGGCCTGTGGGCACAAGATGTTGCAGGAACCATCCCCAAGCCTCACAAAGGTACCATTGTGATGGGATCGATCTTAATATGGATTCACCCCTTCATTTTCGATGCGCGCCGACTGTTATGTGCAGACTACAGGTAGAGGACCCCTCGAGAGCTCACGAACGCCTCGTGTACTCATTGCACTCCGTGCCGCGACCCTCACACCTGCTGCCAGTCGCCTCGGCTGTCATCTCCCCAGCTGACGTACACGTCGCGTTGCATGGCTCACTCCCAGGAAATCTCTGTAGACTTAGGCAAAGCACCAGCACCAGCACGAGCACCGGCACCAGCACCGCCACCGCCACCGCGAGCCGACGGCCACGGGCATCGCGATCACATCACTTGCGTCGCGAGCACAAGCACCACCTATAGATCACCATATGTTACCATCGAAACCTCGTGCACCGTGAGGACCACGTCCAGCACCCCACCACGACCTCCACGATGTCGTGACACACGACCACCACTGCCACCACAAGCACCACGACCGCACCACTGCCAGCACCAGCACCAGCACCTCTACCATCAGCGGTGGCTGTGGAAGACAACTGCGCGGCAAGCTAACAGCATGGGTGGGTTTCCAAGATTTGTTCTCGGTCCGGAAAGCTTCGAGGCGTAGGTGGATGCTCAGCAGGCAAGCTCGTGCCGATCTTCACTCGACTGGGTCCAGTGGAGATGGCTTTGCCCGGCACTAGGGAGTCGGTGCATTTTTCCATCGTTGTTCCACCCGGTTTGTGAAACCAAAACAAAGGGACCCTGGTGCGACAGGTGTGAATGTGAAGGAAGCCGATCTCAAGGCGATGTGGTTCGAGGAGGCGTTCCGCCTGTTGCAGGTGGGCGTCTCTAGCAATTGGTGGGGCCTCGGGTGCCCATCACATTGCCAGGGGTCTCTGCTCCTGCTGCTGCTTACTTTAGGGTTCGGGGTCCTCTTGGGGGTTGTCTTTACGGTGTGGTTCTTCAGGGATTCTCTCCTTCAAGGTCCTCGCCGGGAAATCCCTTCCTACAGTCCCCCTCCTCCTACTGCCAAGCGGCCTTCTGATCTCCGGCTGCGTGCCTACCTGCATGAGTGAGCCCGACTTAAGCTCTGCGATTTCTCAACTTGCCGATTCTCTTCAACAACTTTCGCTGGCCGTACGTGCCTCGCCTTCCCTCACTCCTAGTGGCCCTAGTGGTTCTAGTGGGGGTTGGATTCTGGTAGGTCCCGAAACCTCGGTGGAGCCAGGGTCTCGTGAGGCTTCCGGGCCCCACTTTGCTGTGCATCATTCTCGGCTCTCTGCGGCCCGCTATGTCTTCCCCTCTTTCTATCGAGGACTGCTCGGGGCAGGTGTCGATGTGCCACTACTTGGAGAGATTCGGCGGCTTCGCGGGGCAAAGGGAAAACGGTTTCCTCATGTGGTGCCTTGCTCATGTGATGGATTGCATGGTCCAGCGGGATTATGTTGGGGCCGAGGAGCATCTGGCACTGACTTTTGTTGCTCTGGACCAGGCCACCTTAGACAACAACCGCTGGGACTTTGCATGGCTACTAACGCTGATGGAGGAGCCTCCGGCCCAGCTCTTCCATGGCAGGGGCATTTCCGTGAACCCGAGGTCCCGAGCATACTCTCCTTTGTCCCCCGGAGCCTGGACGACATGCGCACTCCAGTACTTGAAGGAGATCGACTTGATTACCACAAGGAGGCTGGAAGCCATAGGCCGTGCCAAGCCTTTTGTGCCAAAAGCCGACGCGGACAACGAGGAGCTCGACGATCATCGGCCAAAACGGCCCCCCAAACTCCCCCGAAAACCCAAACAGGAGGGCGCAAAGTGACTTCGTGCTCTCGGCCCCCACCTGGTCTTACTGGTCGCCACCCTTCCTTGGGGTTTGACTCTCGAATCAACGTCGCTTCGTGGGTTGGAGGTTTACTCCGTGCCGTTCTTCGGACA